ATAAATGTAAGTTATACATAGAAAATAGTACCAATCAATATATGGGGGGGGGGGGTTCATGAGTTTGTTGGTTAAAGGACCCCTAATTACATATGAGTCATGTAAAATACCTTCAATACTGCATTTGATATCATTAGTTACTATTGGAATCCCCTGTGTGCAAAAAAAAACATAACATTACACTCAGTATGATGTAATAAGTGAATTACACTGGTAGTGAATGGTATTTAAACAAGTCAGTAATTTACAGTTTAATTGTGTCCTTAATCAGAAAAGTATCGTATCTAACTACGATATAAAGCCAAAGAATACGATATTTAATGTCGTTAAGCACAGCAATTAAGTAATTGACTAAACCATTAGTATCCTATCTAACTAAATAGAACAGTATCCTATCTAACTAAACAGAACAGTATCCTACCTAACTAAACAGAACAGAATCCTATCTAACTAAATAGAACAGTATCGCTCTTAACTGAACAGAACAGTATCCTATTTAACTAAACAGAACAGTATCCTATCTAACTAAACAGAACAGAATCCTATCTAACTAAACAGAACAGTATCCTATCTAACTAAACAGAACAGAATCCTATCTAACTAAATAGAACAGTATCGTTCTTAACTAAACAGAACAGTATCCTATCTAACTAAACAGAACAGTATCCTACCCAACTAAACAGAACAGAATCCTATCTAACTAAATAGAACAGTATCGTTCTTAACTAAACAGAACAGTATCCCATCTAACTAAACAGAGCAGTATCCTATCTAACTAAATAGAACTGTATCGTTCCTAACTAAATAGAACTGTATCGTTCCTAACTAAACAAACAGTATCCTATATAACTAAACAGAACAGTATCCTACCTAACTAAACAGAACAGAATCCTATCTAACTAAATAGAACAGTATCCTACCTAACTAAACACATCAGTATTCTATCTAACTAAATAGAACTGTATCGTTCCTAACTAAACAAACAGTATCCTATATAACTAAACAGAACAGTATCCTATATAACTAAACAGAACAGTATCCTACCTAACTAAACATAACAGTATCCTATCTAACTAAATCGAACAGTATCCTACCTAACTAAACCATTAGTATCCTATCTAACTAAACAGAACAGAATCCTATCTAACTAAATAGAAAAGTATTGTTCTTAACGAAACAGAACAGTATCCTATCTAACTAAACAGAACAGTATTCTACCTAACTAAACAGAACAGAATCCTATCTAACTAAATAGAACAGTATCGTTTTTAACTAAACAGAACAGTATCCTATCTAACTAAACAGAACAGTATTCTATACTAACTAAATAGAACAGAATCCTATCTAACTAAATAGAACAGTATCGTTCTTAACTAAACAGAACAGTATCCTATCTAACTAAACAGAACAGTATCCTATCTAACTAAACACATCAGTATTCTATCTAACTAAATAGAACAGTATCCTACCAAACTAAACACATCAGTATTCTATCTAACTAAATAGAACAGTATCCTACCTAACTAAACACACCAGTATTCTATCTAACTAAATAGATCAGTATCCTACCTAATTAAACAGAACAGTATCCTACCTAACTAAACAGAACAGAATTCTACCTAACAAATTAGAACGGTATCGTACCTAATTAAACAGATCAGTATCCTATCTAATTAAACAGAACAGTATTCTACCTAACTAAACAGAACAGAATTCTACCTAACAAATTAGAACGATATCGTACCTAATTAAACAGATCAGTATCCTATCTAATTAAACAGAACAGTATTCTACCTAACTAAAATACACCAAGAGTTTGTTTACTTTAGCGCAAAGCTACATAATGAGCTAATTAAGCAATGTCCACC